TTATAATATCCGGATTCGAGAAAAAAAGCGGTTACACGACAAAACTTTCCGGATTCAAAAGTTATCGGATTCAAAGTTCCCACTTTAAATTCCGGATTCAAAATCTCCGGAGACACGACCAAACCGGGAAGTTTTTATTTCGGATTCGTCCACTTTCGTGTAAACGGCAGAATCAATCCGGTACTAAAACGTTTCGGATTCATCACGAATCCGGAACAATTTCCTCTAGTGTAAACCTGGTCTAAGTTACTTTTCTGAAATTATAATTTAAAAGATGCTCAACGCAAAAATTTCTGTTCAGTTTTTTTTTTCAACAAATGACGATGTAACACTGCGACTTCGTCTCGGTCCATAAAAACGCCAAAAAATCGTGCCATCTTGAAAGAACGAGCGTGGCCAATATCGCATAGATGTACGAAGAAAGGCTCGCGAGAATAAAGGAAATGGCGAACTAAAAAAAATGATTTTTAAACAAACTGTCCTTGTTCGTACCATAGAAAGTGTATCCAGAACAGAATGGAGAACAGGCATACTAATGTAGGGTGTAAAGAGTTTAATTACAGTTTCTATCACTGGTTTTGTGTTTGTATGCATAATTAGTGGCATCTATAATTTATTTGCTGCAAAGAAACACTGTAGTTACCTCACATACAAACGAACAATACTTGCAAATCGTGATACATTCCGTTTTGCAGATCAACAGTCTACCTTGGTAGGAAGACTCAATGAATCTTTTATAATCAAAGAATTAAAAAAACAAGTACATGAGAGGGACAGCCACTTTGCTTTATTAACATGGTAAAGTGTACCTTAAGAAGTCCCGATAGCTACATCCTTGAGTACATAGTACATACTTAACATCGCAAGGGAGAAACTATAATAACAGGTCAACCCTTAAATCTAACGTTTAATTTCATCTTACGGTACTGGCACAAAGATAATTATTGCCAACTTAAAAAGCTCTTCATAGTTAAAAAAAAAAAAAAAAAAAAAACACTCGTTATCAATACCATAATGCACACAAGGCAGTAGAAGGATACATCTTCTCATGTTAGGGTGTTTAGGGTTTATGGAGCACTATATCTAGCCGGGTACGTAAGTAATATTTACACAAGAGTTACTGATCATAATAAGGTATGATTGTTACAAGACGAAGTATACGAATGTACACGCAAATTATTTAGATATTCTTGTAACAGTTATGCAGAGCGCATAACAAACTTATGAAATCACAAAATATTTCTAATTCTAAACGTTCCCAAATACACTTCTGTTATTGAATTATACGTTTGGGTAGACCAGAACGAATTGAAGAAAAGGATCTGTTGTTTACCAAAGGGTTAATGGTTAATGGGATAAACAGTGTTAAAATAACGCAATTAAGGTTAATTCTCTACACTTTCAATATGATACATAAAAACACGATGGTAAGCTTTATACCTCTGCAAGCAACATCACAAAACCGTAGCTACTCTCGTTTCCAGAAATTTGTACTCCTAACCCGACCCTCTCAACCTTGGGATGGCATAAGAGGCTGGGCAGGAGTATCAGTTCTCAACCTCTTGCTGGGGTTTTTCTTAACAGTGCTCTTCCCTCCCCTTCCCATTGCTCCACTTCCATCTTCATCCCGACCATCCCGAGAGGGCTGGGACTGAGCGAACCGCGTGACAGTGGACACGCCATCGACAAACTTTGTTTTGAAGAGGACATTGGCATTGTTGAACATGCCATCTTTCAAAGACACTACAATGAACTGGGAGTGCTTAAAGTGGGCTCTAAGCATCTGGCCGATATTTTGAGTGTGAGACAGATCCAGAGCGGCGTCCACTTCATCGAGGATGTACAGAGGAGCGGGTTTGAAGAGCAACATGGAAAGGATGAGAGATAGCGCGACCAAAGACCTGAGAAGGGAAAAAACACCTGAGCGAAAACAAAACACAAAAACAGATTGATTGCTCTTAATATTTCCATCAGTTAACAGCACAATACACCAACCTTTGTCCACCACTTAGTTCACTGAGACTTTCCTTCCAAACGTTTCCAAAGGCCACTTTCACCTCCAGTCCATCGAGTTCCGTATGTCCTTCTGGGGGAGCTAGCTTTGCTGTGGTTCCAGGAAGAAGAGTTGAAAATATCGAGCCAAAATCCTAAAAAAAAAATATATATATATATATATATCAAAGGTCTATTGATTAGGACATATCAATATGGAAATATAGTAGATAAAGGGGGTAAGTTCCTTAAGAAACTGTGGTGCTTTGTCGGTGAGGGGGTATTTCAAGATAATTTGGTTTTAATATAATTTCAGAGCTGAGCAAAGAGTTTCCAGCAATCTGATTGGTCGAGCGGTATCTTATATGACGCTATATAAACCGCTCCACGCGGTTTAAATAAAATGTTAAATTAAAATGTTAATAAATGTTACTAAAATGGTACGATTTTAGAAATCTCTCTGTTGTTCAGCTCTGAAATTATACTAAAACAATTATTGGCCTCAGGTTCGGTGAACATTGTCGAATAATCCCCTCGACTTCGTCTGGGGGATTATTCGACGATATTCACCGAACCTGAGGCGAATAATTTTTAATTATCAACTGAGTTGATAATGTAAATTGCCCACCGTAAAGCTGAAGTTTGCCAGTCAGAGCGAAGAACCAAGGGCTCGAAACTTCGGATTTAGAAACTCTTTACGAAAGACAATTGGTTTTTTCCACTTAATTGATAGAACCAAATTATCCGGAAATATTGATAGCTTCTGAAGAAACAGCGAATTCGTTTAGATTATTTATTTCGTAGGAAAGACAATATAGTGAAAACACCTCACCATGTTCACTTTCTTCCAAGCGTTCCTAAGGGCTTCGTTTTTCTTTTCATCAAGTTCTTTGATGACCAATGCAATCTTATCTTTGTCGTTCAGGACAATTCGCTTCTTTTTCATCAAATCATTATACTATTTAGGAGCAAAAAAATGATTATGTAAAATAACCAATTCGATTAGACAGAACATAAGAAAATGGCTATGAAGTTTGTGTTAGAAACACAAAAAATACTCAAAACAATGTCCAACAATTAACCTCTAAAGAGTGACTAGCATCGAATTCCTCATCATACAGTATAAATCAAACATTAACGCCATTAGAATAAAGGAATTGATAGTAGACTTAAGCAGCTCTTGATTGTTAAACAATCTCTCTTTTTCCGCATCTGAGGAAATGTATAGCGAACGGTATGGAGAATATGCATACTGATGTCAAGCTGTATAAGGGTACAGATTAATGACTGTGAACCAACTTTGAACATTTCTATTGTTTTCCTTTTTTTGGAGTTGGGGGGTGGGGCCGGGTTCTCGCTAAAAAGTTTATTCTACCTTCTCTTCAGCTTTTCCAAGCATGTTCATTGCTCGCATATTCACGTTCTTTCCCAGTTTGTCCTTCGTTTCTTGCAGTTTACTGAGCCTTCTAGACACATCCTTCATGTCGCTGGC